CTTTCTTTCTTTCTTTCTTTCTTTCTTTCTTTCTTTCTTTCTTTCTTTCTTTCTTTCTTTCTTTCTTTCTTTCTTTCCTTTCTTTTTTGTTCATCAGCCATAATTGCTTTATAATCATTTGTAGCTATGCACCTTTACTTTTTTTAATTTAATTTTATACTTTACTCACCAACACATATGAGGCGCTAAGTGTAAATGTAATAGTTAAAAAATGTCACTGACACATTTTCATTATTTAGCTCACTTTCTGAATGTAAAATCCTACTTAAAAAGTTTAGTATTTTTTTTTATCTCACTGTTCTTACATTCTGGTCATTTTTAAATGTTAAGTAATGTGTGAGAATTAAACCCAAAAACTAAATGTGTAAATCTAAATGTAAGCAATAAATCTTAAATGTGGCTAAATGTTCAAGTTTACACTCAAGATAGCACCGATTAGCATTAGCTAATCAAAACGAGAAAGTGCTTATGCCACTGAAGATGGTATTTAAATTTTAAAATCAAAATGTGTTCATTGAAAACAATATGAATGGTAGCTGTGGTTCGGCAGTTTGAAGTGCAGCTCAGACACCTGCCGTAACTGCGTTTGATGCTTGTAGTGAAGCTTTAGCGGTGTTAGCAGCTTGTTAGTGGCTGCTTCTGTCTCAGGATGATGACATCATAACAAAAGCCGAGCAGCAAAGGCTGCGTTCCATTTTAAATGCTTTAACATTTAGCCACAACATTTACATTTGATTTGTACATTTATATTTACACATTTAATAATGAGACATAACATTAAATATTTAAATGTAAGATTTAATACAAATTTGCAAAATGTACAGTGAGCTAAATAATACAACGTTAGTGGAATATTTTAACTCTCAGAAAGTGAGTTAATGAAAATGTTAGTGGCATTTTTTACCATGTTCTTTGACACTAATGCCTCATAAACACAAGCCTGCATGGATGCTGCTGTCCTGAGGACTTTGTAAAATGTTGACCTTGATTTTAGCTGAACTCCAGAAAACAACAGTTTCATAGCCTCCCACCAAAAGACAAAGGTGGACAGCATTGTTTTTGCTTGTGTGCTTATGTGTCTAAGCAAAATATTTTCATGAATGACCAGATTTGGTTTTAAAAAAAGGTTTCAGTAGATGTTGAACCTTTAAATATACACAAAAAATGTCTAATTCAATCCATCTGACAAACACTGAGCTAAAATTTGGTGTGGTAGTAGCTGAGAGTCATTCACAACCTATACTCCTGATATCTTGTGATCTCCCATGAGTCTGTCACATATTTTAAAGGTTTGACCCCCTCACACACACACACACACACACACACACACACACACACACACCTGACTCACCTCCTCTGTGTTCCAGCCGAGCAGAACTGACAGCGGCCATCATGCAGGGCAAACATCAGGTTTTTTTTTTCTCCCCCACCCCTCAGCTCTCCCTCACATCTGCCTGTCAAATCTCACTGAAGCTTCATGTAATGATGCTTTTTTTATTGTTTTTTATTTTTGAAAATTTTTTAATCGAAAAGGAAAAGAAAAACAGAAGCATTTGTGAAACATGAAATGTTTTATTTGTCTGCATGTCTTTTTGTTCATCAATAAAATAACCCTGCAGTGTTTATGAA